CTGGGATGACTGCAGTGGGAGTCTCTGAGGGAAGAAGAGGCAACACACAGTGGTGGTGGGTGCCTGGGTTGCAAGCTTGCTCTTACCTGATTCTGTCACCCCCTTGGCCTGGGAGAGTAGAGTACCTGAGAGAAGAAGCTAGTGTGGTATCTAGATCTTGGCATACCTTTCTCTGTTCCTCCTCACTGGAGGTGTTTGGGAAAAGAGAGGCTAACCTGAGTTTCTCCTGGGCCTGCAGAGATGGGGCTTCCCATAGATCCCTAGTTTCCTGTGTGTAATGACGCGAGACAGGCCCTGAGTGAGGGAAGTGAGGAAGCTGTGATTTGGGGAATAGGGGTTCAGGTCAGCTACCAGGAAAGATGGTGGGAGAAAGAGGTGTTACTCCAGGCTGGAGAAGCCGAAGGGCAGGCCCTTAGGGCAAGAAGGGGTGTGTGTGGAGAGGGCTGGGGCTGGCCCACATCCCACTGTGCTTTGGTGATTCCCTCTCTACCTTGCTGTCCCCCTCCTGGGTCAGGTCAAATCCCCTCCCCATCCCTGCTGTGTTTAGGTCTCTGTAACTGGAAGCCCTGTTAGGAGCCTGGGAGTTCCTCCCTCACTCTCTGTGCCTTCCCAGCACCCCACACTGCCTGCAGGGTGTGGGGGACTGCAGTGCAGCCCGGAGGGAGGCACACTCCCCACTTCTGGCCTGTTGTAGAGAAAGCCAAGCCAGTTCCTCTGTATTGCCATTGTTAGTTCCAGGAGCCCACGGGACAGGGAGGGCTAAATCTTACCTGGAACTCTTGGTAGCACCTGAATTTGTTACCACAAGCAGCTTTTCCTTTTTTTTCTTTTCCTTCAAATTTCTTGTCAAAAGCACAAGCTGTCAGTAGAAATAATTTTGACTGACAGTAACAAATCAGTTAGGGCAGAAGGAAGGGTTCCTTTCCATAGAAAAGAGCAGATACAGACAGCCGTGTGTGTGTGTGTGTGTGTGTGTGTGTGTGTGTGTGTGTGTGTGTGTGTGT